GGGTTGATTTCTCGCTTTCTGTCTCTATGTCTCTCTCTGTCTGTCTGGCGAGCGCACGTGCCCTATAGCAAAAAAAAAACTCTCCAAAAAATTTTTTTAATAGTTTTTAATCTTTTATTTTATAAAGCAAAAATTAGATTTTTTAACAGAGAATTTTTCATTCTTTTGTCTGTTAAATATTTCTTCCCTTTGCCCCTCCCATCTACTCTCTACCACCCACTCCCCCCCTCCTTACAGTCTCTGATATCTACACTCATCCTCTCTACTATCATACCTTTTGATCTTTCAATTTTTGCCATAGAGTGCAGACATCAGGTACATATTGAGTGGGGATATATAGTGTGTATCTTTCAAAGTCTGGCTCATGTTGCTTAACAGTAAGTCCTCTTTATTCATTCATTTTTAATCAAATGATAGGGTCTCATTGTTTCTAATGACTAATATTTCATAGTATATGTGTGCCATAATTTTCCAACTCAGTCATCAATTTTTGGACACTTAGGTTGATTCCATGTCTTAGTAATTGTGAATAGTGCAATAAACATGGATGTGCAAGTGTTTTTCTGACAGTGTTTTCCTATACCAAGATGTGAGATTACTGGGTCATATGGTAGTTCTGTTTGTATGTTTTTAAGGATTTCCATATTGTTTTCCAAAGAGGTTGTACTAATTTACATTCCCACCAATGGTGTAGGATGGTACCCTTTTCATCACAGCCTTGCTAGCACTTGTTCTTTTTTTTTTTTTTTTTAATCTTAGCCATTCTAATGGGTTAAATGGTATTTCCTTGTGGATTTAATTTGCATTTTCTTATGACAAGAGACTTTGAACATCTTTTCATATGCCTAAGTTTTCCTTGGAGAATTGTTTAATCAGTTCATTTGCCCATTTTTAAATTGAAGTCTTCATTTTTTTTATGGGTGAGCTACTTGAGCTCCCTGTATATTTTGATTATCAGTCCCTTATCTGAGGAATAATGTGTAAAAATCTTCTCCATTCTGAAGGTTTTTTCTTCACTTTAATTACTATTTCCTTTGCTGTGCAGAAGCTGTTTATCCTAATGTAGTCCCACTTGTGCATTTTTGTGATTAATGTCTGTGCTTCAGGAGTCTTATTTGAATAATCATTGTGTACTCCAATGGTTCAAGAGTTTCTCCTAAGTTTTCTACCAATAGTTTTATAGTTTTAGGCTTTAAATTTAATTTTTAACCCATTTTTTTTGGAGAGGTTTTCGCTATAGGGCGTGTGTGCTCGCCAGACAGACAGAGAGAGACATAGAGAAAGCGAGAAATCACCCCCCAGAGAGGATGGTCACGCCGCAATCCCTTCTCTTCCATTCTCCTCTCGGGATCTTAGGCATGCACGCACACGTGCCCAGCGTGAGTTTTAAGCCACCGGGTCCGGGATGTGAACCACGGTCGACTACGTGGGAGTCCAGCGACATAGCTATTACGCTAACTGCTGGTTCCCAATTTTTAACCCATTTTGACTTGATTCTTGTTAATGGTGAGAGATAGGCGTCAGTTTCATTTTTCTGCATGTGGATATCCAGTTCTTTCAGCACCATTTGCTTATTTTATGTTGTATATTCTTTATCTTTGGTTTTTAGAGTTCTCTTCTTGTGGTTTCTGTTTATTCTGCCATGGTCATTTTTTTTTCTTGCATGTGGGAATCCCTTCAGTCTGTGAAATGGACAGAATAATAGTGACATTTACATAAACAACATATGTAGAGTTTAGAACAGTTCATCATCTAGACTACATTGGTGTTAGCTGCTATTATTAGTATTAGTATTATTCTGAGCTAACATTTCCGACATTAACAGTCTGCCTCTACCTGAAAAAGATGAGCCAGTATTTCTCCAAAGCATACTTTCATCAGGTGATAACAGAGCCTTCTTATGAAAATCCAGAGAGAATTTCCATTTGTTTCTTCTATGAACTCCTGGGAGCTAACAACTTAGGACCACATTTTATTAAACTCTCAGGATAACACTTTCCAAACCATATGAGTAGTCTAATTCTGAATCATTAATCCTCTTAGTGAAGGCTTATAGTTATAAATGCTTATATGAGGATTTTTCTAATATTTTCTACCAAGAACCAAAGAGACAAATGCTTTTTGTTGTTGTTTTTGAGCGTGGAGGGACTTTTTATTTTTCTTTCTTTCTTTTCTCTTTATTGCCAGAGTACATGCACACTCACCAGTTCTTGGAGTAGAGAGAAAACACACCCAATGGGGCATAGTCAAACCACAATACTATTTCCTCCATTTCTCCATCCTGTCAGGATTTGGGGCAAACATCCATGTGTGCCTAACATGTTTTTCAAGAAGCCAGGGCCAGGATCTGAATCACTGCCAACCACATAAGATTTCACTGTGTGAAATCACCAGTTCTCAGAAGTCAGAAGGAATCTTCTTCTGAAGGCCTGCCTGCCTCTTGCCACTCCTGCCTGGGTGGGAGGGAGAGAGGGGATTATTAACAAAGTAAAAGGAGGGGCTTAAAGCAAGAGAATACTTTACCTTAAAAAATTTTAGGAAGGAAAAATTACAGAAAAAATTGAGAAGACAAAAGCAGAGAGAGACAGGGACAGAGACACAGAGAAAGAGATAGAGAGAAGGCTAGAGGGGCTCCCTACCACTCAAGTTTATGGGCTGGAGGCTGAATTTATCAGTAGGAAATCATTTCTCCTTTTTTCCCCTGAAATCACTATTTCTCAGGAGCCATGAGGAATCTCTGTCTTTAGTTTTCTTAGAATTATTTCCCTCTAGACAAATATGCCTCAACTCCATTTCTTACCCAAATATTTCTCACATCTTCAGTCCTATGAGGACTTGGTTCAGCGTCTGGAGCCAGTTATAATGGAGCTAGAACGACAGGAGAATGTACTGGTGATCTGCCACCAAGCTGTCATGCGGTGCCTCCTGGCCTACTTCCTGGATAAAAGTTCAGGTATCTCCCTCCTTTTTTATTCTAGCTTGGGAAGCTGGTCATGATTTGAGATCCTGGCACGAACAATTGAGCGTTATAGTGGTTAAGAACACTGTATATGGAATGTCACATACTAGCTGTAGTACCTTGGACAAATTACTTTAACCTTTCTGGCTTCAGTTTCCTCAACTGTGAAATGGGCAGAATAATAGTGACATTTACATAAACAATATATAGAGAGTTTAGAACAGCTCATTGTCTAGACTACATTGGTGTTAGTTGCTATTAATAATATTGTTCATATTATTACAAGCTAAAGTTTTCAACATTAACAGTCTTCCTCAACTTGGAAAAGGTGAGCCAGTATTTCTCCAAAGTATACTTTCATGAAGTGATAACAGAGCCTTCCTTAGCCTCCTGATCCTGATTATAACTTTCTGTCTTTTCTGTAAAGATGATTTCCCTGACAGTGATATTTTTAACTATTAATTTTAAATGGTGATTTATTTTTAAAATCATCTAGTCATTACATTTACATAGTATCTATATACTGACTACATATGTTGAATTGCAAACTAGGGCAGGTGACCTGGCAAAGGAACTGTTGTATCACCTTCAGGTATGAGCGTCTATTTCTAATGTAAATGCTGGTGTACTGGCATTTCCAGCATATTTTGAGGGTACCTGAGGGTATTGCAAAAATAATTTATTTTTTAGATTTTTTAGATTTTTTTTAAAGATAAGGTGTGTGTACTTGCTGGAGAGAGGCAGAAAGAGAGATATATAGAGAGTGTAAGTGAGAAATCATGCCCTAGAGTGGATGGCCATGCCAAAATACCTTCTCCTCTATTCTCCTTGCAGGATTTTGGGCATGCACACATATAGCCAACCAGGTCCAGGACTTGAACCAATGAAGCTGGCCATGTGGGATCCAGTGCCTTAACCACCACCACCACCACACCACCTGCTGGTCCACAAGATGATATTTGATGCCTACAGTGTCCTGTAGTCTTGGGTGTTTTTTTACAATGTTAGTTACAAAATAAAGAGCTTGTAATATGGACTTATACAACATTGGAACCCAGAGAACTTGAGAACTTAACATAAGTCACTTCCTCTACCTGGTCCTCAGTTTATTCACTGAAAATAGGTGATGGTATGTGTGGTTGTGGTCCTTGTGCTTATGGATTTCTGATATGTTCATATCTCTACTTCTCAGGGCAGTATTTTTAACTCTTCAGGTAGGCACTATAACTCCCCTTGTTCAGATGAGGAAATGGAGGCCCAAAAAAGTGAAGCGACTTGCCCACGGTCATAATGCTCACTTTCAGGCATGGAAGTTGATTCCAGTACATTTCAGAACCCCTCTTCTCTCAGTGTTTAGGAGATAAGGGAAGCTCCCACTTCCTACTCACTTTGACTCACAGGTCATGCCAACAACTCAGAATTATCCCGAGTGTCAGGATCTGACATTACTCAGATATGTGATGAAATAAGGCCTAGAGAGATGATATGATTGATAATACAGAGCCATAGAACCTCAATGTAGGGGCACTCTCAGAGTTCAATCCTATTTTATAGGATGGGGATGCTAAGGGCCAGAGAGAAGAGACTGGGCCAAGGTCACTAGTGAGAAAGTGACAGGGCTTGGTCAGAGACCTCAGGAAAGTCATACAATGAGGGTGCACAGAAGCCCAAAGCATCGGTGAGGATGCCATGAGATAGTGTAATAAAATCCCTGGTCCAACACATGAAGGCAATGAAGACAAAGCATGCTCAACCTGATTCTCAGGATTTTTGGAGGGAGGATGAACCTAAGGACCAGGGAAGCCATGAAAGGGGTCATTCTGGCCAAAAGAAGGGAGTGTAGGTGTCAGGAGAGAGTGCCAAGTGGGTGGTTGGTTCACCTCTGGACCTTGTGAACTCCTCCATGGCAGTAGCAGCAGACTGCAGGGGGAAGAACTAGTATCTTCTCCTCAGAGGGTCCCAGTTTGAGTCCCTCCACTGCCACTTCTGGGCCATGTGATAGGACAAATAATTTCCTCCTTAAGGGCTGCCTGATAAACAGAAAGAGGTCTAAACATGCAATTGTATGTGCACAGTTAGAATAGTCTTATGCCTAAGAGTCAATACCAGGAAACCAGTACCTGGACAATGCTGATTTGTCAGCATGTGGATGAGCAGTCAGAGCCCAGGAATGAGCTGAGAAGACTGTGAGTCAAGAGTAATGTATCTTTCTTCCAGGGACCCTGGCATGTAGTTGGGTCTCAAAAACACTTGTGGACATTAATTGTGGCCTTTATGGAAAGCTCCAGACTGAGGATGGGAGGAAGACTTGCTTCAAACTCCTGTTGGTACTCTGACTGGGGCCAGCCTAGTGTCTGCCCTGCATTTTCCAGGGCCTTCTTTCCTCCCTGCTCTGATCCCAAGGCAGAAATGGTTGCTGTCTACAATCTCTGTGCAACCTGCTCTCTGCACTGCCCCCTGCAGAGTGCAGGGGGTTGGGGAATCAGCTCTGGTGAAGTCCACCTTGACAGGGGGTTTGGGACTGGAGACTAACACACCTAGAGACCAAAGGAGGTGGTTCTCTGCCCAGCACTGTGTCTCTGAGGGCTATTTCCTCCTCCTTTTCAGATGAGCTCCCCTATCTCAAGTGCCCTTTGCACACAGTGCTCAAACTCACACCTGTGGCTTACGGTGAGTGCCCTCAACTTTATCTAATGAAAGGCACATTGAGACTATGAACATACGTTCAGTGCCTACTATTTACCCTTCAGAGTCCTAGGGGAGGTTCCCTGGGAGGATGGTTGGATGCCCTGGAGGAAAGGGAATTTGTGCTAGTAGGACAACAGAGAAGAACTGGGATGGCCTCTGAATCCCTGCTGGGGCCTAATTCCAACTCTCTCTACCACAGAACCAAGCTGTAGAAGATAGGGTCCCCATAGCAGATCAAAGGAAAATTATAGTTTTCTTCAATTATATGAAGAAAGAGCTCAAAAACCAGCTTGAGCAATTTAGACTTTCTCAGGGCATTAGTTAGCTATGAAATATTCATAAGCAGAAAAACAGAACCAATCTTTTTTGGGGTGTGAAAAGGGCAGAATGGCCTACTGAAGCCTGGAGTAAGGTGCATCCATGGCGATGGAGCTAAGGAGGCTTCCATAAGCATCTCACTGTTGCTGCCAGCCCTGGGACCCAATAATTCACTCTCCTTTTTCTTCACTCTGGAACTCCCTTGTGACATTCTACACCAGTGGTGGTGTGTAACCACATTGTCCTCTAAATAAATGTTGCCTGGGACTGATTACCCAAGGCAGAGGCACCAGGATGCTTCCACCTTTTGAGCACTTAGTATGGCTTGGAGGATCCACAGAGCTCTGCCAATACGGCATAGATAAGATTGTTACCTCACAGACCACAGAGCTGGGAAAGACCTCAGAGATCTTCTTTCATATATATCCTTAATTATAAATGAGAAACTGAAGCTAAGAGAATTTCAAAATAGTTAAGGTCAGAGCTGGGAGATGCCCCATTGGCTGCCTCTTAGGCCTGAAGTCTTCCCCGCATATCACACAGCCCCCCCCCCCCATACACACACAGGGAAGTCACAATCCACGCATAGTAAGTATATGAAGCTGGGGGTGTGGGCAGTGATGCTGGAAATGCTACCTCAGGGAAGACCTGTGTTTTCCTTGGGGGCTCACAGACAGATGGGTTGTTCTTTTCTGAGGCTGCAAAGAGGAGTCCATCTACCTGAATGTGGAGGCTGTGAACACACACCGGGAGAAGCCCGAGGTAAGTGAGATCCTCTGTACCCCAAGCTGGCTGTGGACATAGCACATAGTGAAAGCTCCTCTACGAGAGGCTATGCCGCTTCCTCAGAACCTGGGAGTTTAGCATTGACAGGTGGAAAAGTCAGTACCTAAAATGCAGAAACCACACAGCCCATACTTGAGGCACCATGGAGATGGAGACCTAGGGCAAGCCCTGCACAAGAGTCTTCAGGCTAAGATTCTCTTAGGCCTGTCCAAGTCAGGATCTAGACACATAGTGAGGACAAGAGATGAGAGGGGCTGGATCCCTATGCTTTTACCTCCTTCCTCTTAATCCTGGGCTCTCTCCTCAGAATATGGATGTCACCCGGGAACCTGAGGAAGCCTTGGACACTGTTCCTGCCCACTACTGAGCTCTTTTCAAGAGCTCAAACTGCCTCTGTACTCACGGTCTTCCACCTTTAAGAACTGCTCTACTCACTTTTCTTCTACCATAAGAAGACTCTGGCCTTGGCCTCACTGGGAAAACCATGCTTCCAGCAAAGAAGTCCTCAAACAGCTCCAAAACCAGTCTCAATTCCTGGCCACAACCAAGGAGATGTCTAAGTCTGAAGTTCGCTCTTAATTTCTCTTCGCTAATAAAATCTTCTCTTACTGCCTACAGAAGTAAAGGGAGAGATCATGGTGAGGCTTCTCCCATTGTTCTTGAGATCTTGATCCTGTAAAGTGGCTCTGGTGCTGTGGGGGGTGTGGAATGGGTGAAAACTTCCTGGAGGGAAGAGTTCTGGATTAACACCTTCAAAGGTGGGAGAAAGATAGATCCTTTCACCTGTGAGCCTTGTTCCTTAGTGGGCAGGGGTAGCTGGGAGCATGACACTTTCATCCTTACACTCATAGAAGAATCTGGCACTTAGGCCAAGTGCTCTTCTCTAACTCTTGCTGGCATTCTCAATTTCACTGTCTGTATGAATAACCCAGTCAACATCCTGGCCTTCCACTCCTTTTCCTTGACTCCAGTGAGCATCTTCCCCCTTTAGTCACCCTCTACTTGGACCTTGGCATCATCTCACCAGACTACCTTCATAAATGCAAGCATCATCTCACTATCTAACCACCCCCACCCTAGTCTTTACAACATCTGTATCATCCCCATGGCCCCTAGCAGTATGCCTAGGCATAGTATGAGTGCCTAGGCATAGCATGAGTGTAACATTTTTTGAATGAACAATAGTTGTTATTGTACTGCATCAAGAGTACAGCCCATTTAATTCTTCCAATGTCTCCCTGTCTATCAGTACTCTCCTTCCTCTGTGTTCTTCCATCCATAATCAGCTTGGCCCCTACAGCCCATCCCTTTGGCCACTCTCTACATACCCACTGTAGGCCAGATACCAGAAACCCAGTGGTAGAGACAGACCCACACACTCATTGCCTTTATTCCCTTGTCCTTTCATCACAACCATCCAGCAAGACTCATACTATGTGTAATCCACATCCACCTCCCACACTTTTTTTTTTGTTGGGACCTACTAAAGGTTTTCTGATCACTGCTTAAAACATATCTAGCATTGGTCCATGGCTTGGTAGTTAAGGAAGCTGGATCCCACATGGCCAAACATGCAGTTTGAATCTCAAAGCCAGGTGGCTTGACGAACACACCAGATGCATGTGTGTCTGTGTCCCAAGTCCCAACAGGATGGAGAGATGGAGGAGAGGGGGTTGTAGCATGACCATGCTCATGGGGATGCTTTCTTCTTTCCTCTCTCTGGTGAGAACACATGCCCTCTGGCTTTTTTTTTTTTAAGTAGATCTATATCTGCTTCTACAGACAGCTTTAAATCCTGTCCAAAGTCAGGGTCACTCTATAGTCTCTGATATCCTATCCCATCCAACCTTTTCAGGGATGAGCTACTTCAATAAATTCCTGATTCTTCCACGTCTACCTCCTGTCCCTCTCTATTGGCCTTTTGGGAGACTTATCTTGCCCCAAAGTCTGTGCAATATGTTTAAGTATTTCTCTCCTATCCCAAGAAAACCTTCCTTTATTCCTGTGTCCACCCCTAATTACCTTTCCATCTACCAATCTATCCCTCCATTCTTAAACAGATGACTAAAAATTAATCTATACTTACTGTCCAGAGTCTATTCTCTGCCTTTGGCTCCAGACTTTCCTCCTCCATATTTCTTCTCAAGCTAGTATCCTGCTATACTTTCCCCAGGCTTCTATCCCATTGACATTACACTTACCTTTTAACCTAAAGTTGGACCCCTTCCTTCCCTCAAATTGCTATGCTGACCTATAGCTCTTCTAATGAATCCAAAATGTCACTCGCAACTACTTAAGCACATTAAATCATGGAGAAAACTCCAACTGATTTTTGCAAATTTAATATAACTCTGATACCAAAATATGACAGTAAACAGAAAGCAAACAATAGAAGAGAAACAGTAAACTGATTTTTCATAGCATGTCACCTTCAGCTGATCGGCAGCAGCTGCTTAGACTACTCTGTGGATTGATTCCAAGGATATACCTTGGCTCCACTAGAAGTACTGATGTAATTCTTTAGCAGATCTGTAAATGTAGGGAGTAAACCTGAAATAAAACACCAAACAGAGACATATATTAGCACCAAATATACTGTTTTCTCATATTTCCTTCATTGCCCTTATCTTTCTGTCCCACCTTTGTGCCTCAATGTTTCTTTTTCTTTTCTTTCTTTCTTTTTTTCCTTTTTTTCTTCTTTTTTTAGAGAGTTTTGCTATAGGGCACATGCACTCAACAGACACAGAAAGAGAGACAGAGAGACAGAAAATGAGAAATCACCCCCCAGGGGTTATGGCCATACCACAATCCCTTCTCCTCCATTTTCCTCTTGGGATCTTGGGCACACACACGTGCCTGGTGTAAGTTTAACTGGGTCTGGAACTTGAAAAGTGGTTGAATATATGATAGTCCAGCAACGTAGCCATTGCCATATTCTGGTCCCCTCAGTATTTCTTATAACATCTCCCAGCTCCTAAATTCATCCCCATGGGCCCTGGCTATGAAAACATTACAATGACCTAAAACCTAACTAGACATAGGAGCCACAGGTACCAAGGCAGGTGGCTCCACCACCAAAGCCAGCACTAGTGCTTGGTCCACCACCAAAGCCAGCACCAGTGTTTGGTCTACCACCAATACCAGCACTGCTGCTTGGTCCACCACCAAAGCTAGCACCAGTGTTTAGTACACTGCTGAAGTCATCTCCAATGTTCAGCCACTGTTGAAACCATTTCCAGTGCTTGATCCATGAAAGAAGACATTGGTGATGTAGAGTCAGCACTAGTGCTTATTCCACCACTGAAGACTTCAATAGAACTAGGTCCACTACTGAAGACAACACTAGTTCTGGATTCACCAGTAAAACCAGTGCTAGTGTTGGAGCCACTGTCAAAACCAATGATAGAACTCAGTTCTCTGTTGAAATTGACATCAGGCCTACCACCAAAACCATTGCTGGGGCTGAGGTCACCACTAAAACCAGCACTGATGCCAAGTGTGCTATGAAAACCAGCATAGGCACCCAGTTCACCATCAAAGCCATCGCTGCTAACCAAACTACCACCAAAACCAGCACTGGTGCCTAGTTTACTGCTAAAGTCAGTGCCAGTGCCTAGTCTACCATCGAAGCTAGTACCGGTGCACAGTCTACCATTGTAGCCAATGCCAGTGTTTAGTTCACCACCAAAGCCAGCACTTGTACTCAGTACACCACTAAAGTCAGTGCTGGTGCTCAATCCACCACCAAAGCTAGTACTGGTGTTCAGTCTACCACCAATGCCAGCACTGGTACTCGGTGCATCACAAAACCCAGCACTGGTGGCACCACTAAAGCAGGCACTGGTGGTAGACGGGCCACAAAAGTAAAGACTGGTGTTAGGTGCACTGCCAAAACAGACTGGTGTTATTAGCACAACCAAAGCTGACACTGATGCTGATGGCACCACTGAAGCCAGCAGTTGTGCTGATGGCACTGCCAAAGCTGGCATTGGTGCTGACAGCACTGCCAAAGCCAGTGCTGGTACTGATGGTACTACTGAAGCTGGTGCTGGTGCTGACAGCACTGCTAAACCTACCACTAGTGCTGACAGAACCCCCAAAATCGTCATTGGTGTTGATGGAATTGCCAAATCTGACACTGCTGCTGAGTCCACTGCGAGAGCTGGTGCTGGTGCTGGGGAAACCACCAAAGCAGACACAGGTACTTAGTGTTCCACCAAAGTCAGAGCTGGTGCTAGAAGAGCCACCAAAGGAGGCAATGGTGCTGAGTGTGCCGCCAAAACCAGTGCTGGTGCTGGGAGAGTCAACAAAGCAGATACTGGTACAGCGTGTGCCACCAAAGCTAGTACCAGAGCTGGGAGAGTCACTGAAGCAGACATTGGTGCTAAGAGTGCTTCCAAAGCCAGCATTGGTGCTAAGAGCACCACTGAAAACTGTGCTTGTGGTGGGTACACGAGTGCACCACTGATGCCCAGGAGTGGTGCTGAATATGCCTCCAAAGCCAGAGCCTGCTCTACCACTGAAAGTGGCATTGGTGTTAAGGGGGCCACTGAAGCTACAACTGACTCCATCATTGAAGCTGACATTGATACAAGGTGTGCCACCAAAGCACTGTTGGCCTCACCACTGAAACTAGAGTTTGTACTGGGTACAGGGTACACCATGAAAGCTAATGTTGGCTCCACTGCTGAAACTAGTACTAGTGCTAGGTGTGCCACCAAAAATAATGTTGGCTGCACTACTGAAGTTGGTGCTGGTGTTTAGTGCACCTCCAGAGTTAATGCCAGATCCTCCCATGAAACCACCATGGATGCACCACTAAAACTAATACTACCTCCATCACTGAAGCTATTCC